GGAGGCAAGCGAGTGAGTTTGATTGGTGGAACAATATTCATACGGGCCGGAGCTAGGCCTAATCGAGGGGGGTGATGAATAGAGAAAAGGGGGGTGATAATTAGAGAAAGGGGGGGTGATAAATAAGCTCGTCCTTGTACTTTCACAATAGCCATTGCCTCTGTACGCCTTAGGGTACCCGGAAGTATTTTCCTAAGGTGGCCCAGTGGACTATAGTTTCACGTCACTGAAACGTGTACACTTTTGTTCCAAGGTTCGCTGCCTCCACCAAAATCAGCCTGGCTTACACGCTGCCACCACCACACAACAGGCTGAATAAATATCTAGAAGGACTAAGATTGCAAGTTGTACCTTAAATAACGCCTTTTCACTCTTTGGAATATTTATATGCTATGGCGTTGTGGTTCTAATATATAGGGGGTTAGAAACGGGCCTCCGCGTCTACGCAGCGTTACTAAAGATAAATTTATACTTATTAGGATGATTTTAACTTAAACCTTAGATTATAGGAGGAAAGTAAATAGAAATACATTCTATTAGCCGTTTGCATAATCCAGCAACGGCGTACGTGGGAAACATCGACAAGAATGCGCCTCCCGCAAATTTGTAGCGGAAAGAGTGTCCAGGTTTCAGTGACTTAGTACTGTAGCAAATAAACGAAGAGCGAGTTATCAATAACATCTAAGCGGGAGACTATATTTGGCGGTGAGAAATCTTATATCTCATTTAGGCAATTGAGAGAGAACTGAGGGAAGCCAAGCGAAGCGCATCCACAAAATGCATTTGAGGACGATTGGTTATAGTGGCATTGTAATGAAACTGCAGGCAGACCATGAGGAACTTCGCCAAATCAAACTACTCGCAACACTGATATTCAGGCTATGCTAATCCGAAAGGCACTACCTTGATATCTTTGAGAGTCTTGCGATATCATGAATGTGATGCTCTGAGCATTTGCTCTACTATGTAGAGCTTGTATGAAAAGTGCTTCCCGATCTCTACCTATTCTGCCTTTGGCATAGTGGTATCCGGCTTGACGACGACCTTGCAATTCACCATAGCCCGACGAAGCAAATGCGTTGAGCCGGCCTCCAACCTATCTCGATTCGTTGTCAGATAGTCGAATCGATGGTTGCTGTTCGCACAAGCCGCTTTATCAAAGTCCTTCCAGGTAATTTGAATCGTCTCCAAGGACCTGCTAAGTTTCAGGCCCAGAATTGACGGGATGATGGCGACGTGGGTTTGGCGAAGATATTCTGTGCTATAAGCGACATCGACTGGGGCGTCCATCACCATTTTTCCCTTGCTGTTGAGTTCGCGGTCCGATAAAACAGAAAACAGTGTAGCGAGACTGAGATCGAAGTGCACGAGCTTGAGGGACCCCGACGCACAGAGTAGCGACATGGCGGAGTTGAGAGTGGTGTTTGCGGAACGCTTCACCCATTCAGGCTTGACCACGGTACCTCTTATATGCACGAGGGAAGATGCGCTGGTGGTTGCAAATTCCACGTGCTGGATGAGTACTCAGGTTGAAAATTGATGTGAACTCTGTCTTATTTCGGGGGCCCGAAGGCCAAACTATATACTACGTAGGAAGTGACTGTATGCATAGGCAGAAGCACTAATTGGAGGCAGCAGTAGGCAGCATTAGGCAGGGTAGGCCACCGTACCCCAACCCCTCTCTGTAGAAGTTGTAACTGGCTAGGCATGTAGGCAGCTACTATGCCAGCAACTCCAAGTCTGTACGTAGGTGACCGTGAACCGTATGAGTTGTTGATCCTAGGTTGTAGCTGTTACAACCCGAGTTCTGTAGCCTCAGTGGACCCCTGTTTTGGATTGATTTTCCGGCCCTGCAACGTAGTAGTGTAGGCCGAGTGGGAATCCTGCGCCGCTGCTAGTGTCTCGTGCCGTTGTATTCGGAACTTGCTGACTAGGTCTGCTAGGCTAGGTGCTGATTCCTTCGTGTCCGTTCGGCGTGCGATTTCCTGGCGCCAGTAGCCTGCGAATTCTGGATGTTTTTCCACCAGGGACAGTAGGAAATCGATTTGGGCACGGTTGTCGGCGGCCTCGGGCAGCCGTAGCCTTAATGCATCACTGTACAATGTTTCCCAGTCCATCAGCCAACTTTCCACAGTTTGTTCAGTAGGAAAGTGCTTCTGGTTCTGCCATAGGTTGTAGATTTCGTGCCGGCGTGCTTCATCCGATGGCGCAATGGATTTCTTGAGTTTAGCAAGTAGATCGCGTGCTGATGAGATGCCGTAGGTGTACGTAGTGTATTTGGCATCTATGGTTTGTAGGATGAAAATGCGTAGGTCCTGCATTGATTCCTTTTGCTTGTCGAATAGGGCCTTGTTGTTCTTGTATTCATCGTATGCCATCTTCCAGGTCATTTGCGCGGCGAATGTGCTGTCGTCAGCTGATGGGGGCGCGGGCTTCGAAGGTTCTGGAAGCATTTCATCGGCGTTCGCATCTGTTTCCGATGGGTCGATGATGCGCCAGATTTCCCTTCGTTCGGCCTTTGCCTGGATGATTTGAATCCAAGATTCCCATGCGGCTGGCGATGATAGAATGACATTTTCTGTTGGCATTGTGGATGATGTGATGGAAGACGTGATGGAATAATAACAAGGTTGGTTGTGGAGGATTGTGGATCGAGAGTCTATCGTCTGCTGATTTGCGTTGATCGGTGATGCAGGCGATGATCCGTATGAGTTTTCCGGGCTCATAACACTCAGGTTAAATTGATGTGAACTCTGATTTCTATAGACGTCTAGCTAGTTGTATATATACTAGGGGAAGGAAGGGGGGCCACCCCTGGGTGGCGCGCTAGTAAGTTCAGCTGAACACTGCACAGCTGAGTTTTCAGCTGGGCTCTCCACAGCTGAGATCTCAGCTGTGTTCTCTACAGCTGATGTTCGGAGTAGCCTTCTAGCATATGAGTTGTTGATCCTAGGTTGTAGTGCTGCAACCTGAGTGTCATGGCATTGCAGACGAAGAGACGGTCCACTTTCCCGCCATAATGTCCTAATGATATGAGCACTGAGGACGTATCGCATCATGCTCAGTTTTCAGTCAAGTATGCTGAAGTAGTAGGTCGGAAGAAGTGCGCCAGAAAATCGGCACGGTCGCGTATCTAGATTGTTCCGCGAGAAGGTATGAAGAGGTGCGCGAGATGTTCAAGTATGCAGCATGAGAAGCTCTGGTGGCTAAGGCGGAGAAGGAGAGGAAGGAGATGAAGGAGAGAAAAAAGGAAAACAAGAAGAAGAGGGGTTGAGGAAGCTGTTTGGGGCCTCGTCTTGAGTCGAAGAGTGTGGGTGAACTAACCTTTTTTTTTGAGATGTTTTGCTGTTCACAGGTCTTCTATGTAATGATACTGTCTAGTGCTAGTGGCTTAGCTACGTACGCCCTCTATGTCATATCAAGCTCATAGTAACGTGACACGCTCCAAACCACGTGCTTCTTACTAATACCCTTTTCTTTCGTCCTCCTACCTATATAAACCCATCACTCCTCTACCTGTCTCTCTGTCTCGACAGGAAGAGTGTGGAAACCGGCCCAGTCAAATCGCTTACTGCGCGAATCTATGGCTGGGCTGGGCCTGGCCTGTCTGGGAAACAAAAGCAAGAAACACCGTGCGTGATGGCTGCTCGGGTGGGAGATCAAAATCCTCACGAAAACAGATCCATGGTGCGAGCTGGGAGGAGGAGTAAAACCATGCAGAGCATTGAAGAATGGTGGGACTGTGGATCAAAATCAGCAAGTCCAGGATGCCATGGGATTGGGGTTGGAGGGTGGCTGGTGAGTTAATTCCATGGGGCTCGCAGTCACAATGGAGGGGAGGAGGCAGTGGGAGGGTAGTGGTGAGCTGCTTCATTGAGTTAACAATGGTTAGGGGGTAGTGTTAGGGTACGGATATAGTGAACAGTCTTTCATCGCTCCGAGAGGACTTTACGTGAAGTTCATGATGTTGAATATCTTTAGACCTAGTGGATGAGGATAGCATGCGGCGAGAAAGCTACTCACCATCACCTCCCACTGGATACTCCCCCCACTCGCCCATTGAATGCTGCGGCATTGACTATTGAACGCCCACCTCCAACAAGTCCTCTCATCAGTCTCTTCCGTAGTCGCTTTCAAACACATCCTCCACCCAAGCTCTTTCATGAGATCCTGAAGGACTTGTTTTTTTATCACACCAGAGCTCTATCCGAGCCCTCCCATCATGCTCTTCGGAGCCTGTGCTCAGAAAATCCCTCCGCCCGCCCCCCCCATGAGAACGCTCGGATTGTCCTTTTGAACACCCCCCCTCTCCACCCCCACCGCCCATCAGACGTTCAGTCACTTCATGTTGACACCACCCGCCAACCGCAGCCATGTTGGAACAATCTGAGGGTTGTTGCTCCCCCCACTCGTTCCCGAACCACCACCATGAAGAAAGAAGCGTCCAGCTTTTATACTCCCCTGGAGAAAAAAATTGGGAGGATTAGTCAGCGGCACGTGACTACGGACCGAAAGGGGAGCATACAAGGGGAGCAAGGGTCTTAGGGGAGCAGAGTATACGGCCTCGAGACTGAGCAAATAATGTGCCTAGACCTTTTCTCTTACTATAAGTCTCCGGCCTTCCTCGATTCTGCAACCTGGCAAGAGGAGGGATCGCGTTCTTTCAAATTCAAAAGTACTGTACTTGAGAGTCAACTGATGTGGGAGATCAACATTGTGGAAAATGTTCACGATGAGGGGGTGAGTTGTGGTCGGGAGGATCGACAGCTCTTAGGATCACACACAATGACGTGGTGTGTGTTGGGGAGGGTAGTATCAACAGATACGCACCTACAAAGGTACCGAACGTGGTGTCGTTTGTACCAAGGAGAAGATGGCGATGCGGGGCCTCTTTGCCTCCTTTCAACGCTCACAGTTGGTAGATGCTGGCGGTAGAATCTTACGCCATTGATAGAGCTGACTGGGTTCAGTAGCGTTCTCGGTTGTTTACTGGATGTGATAAAGATGGTTATAAACGGAAGGGGATACTCACCACCACTGTGCCCTAGAGTTCCTCCACCCAGGTTCTTCCACCACTCGACCCATCCGATGCCACGACCGTCTAGTTTCAACAACCTCCCTCCACTCCACCAGCCATGGGTCAGTCCAAGCGATCTTTTGACACAGCCCACCAACCGGCACCATGGTGGTCTACAATCTGTGAGATTTTGCTCCCCAACCACCCATAACTTGACGCCTCACTGTTTTTGACACCTCCCACAGACCACGCCATAGTTCTACTACCTTTGACGTTTTACTTCCTCCTCTCCCCGTCTACCTGAAGAAAGAAACCCAGATCGCGGAGGGAGGAACTCTTATACCTTCCGGCAGCAGAAACTAGCCGTCGATTACTCAGCCCCCCCATGACTGGCGAAGAGAAAGCGTGACTAGAGCGTGACCGAAACAGACTCCCTATGACCGGCGTGGTGAGCTGATAGGTGAGCACGTAGGTAAAGCACGTGGCGTGTCCATCTCTTCCGTATAAAAGAGGGATGTCGGTCCACCTTTCAGCTCAGTAGGAAGACCGAATACATCTACGGGGTTCAAAAATGGTCGACTACTGCGCTTATGTGGGGAATCAAAAGCACCTTCGTGTTGCTGGATGTAGTGTCTGGTGTCGAGGGGGAAAAGGGGGGATCAACACGTCCTCCAAATGTTGGCCATGGAGAGGGGGTTGGAGAGGGGGGTGGCGCGGCGGAACATGGGCTATCATGGTGACGATAACCATCTTCGGAAAATACTAAGGTCTAAGAGTGTTCCTGGGTAGACACAGCGAAGAGGTCCTGAGAAGGGTGTTGAAGAGAGATGGGTAGAGTAGCGACTGACTCCAACCAAAGTTAGTGAGATCTCCAACCAAAATTAGTGAGATAGAGTATGAGTGTCATCTTCAGCAAAACCCTCCATTTCATCGTGACGGAGTACGTATTCTTAGCCAGCTAGCCTACGGAGTATGGTACGGTTAGCTCGGCTACCTTGATATAGAACACGGTTCCTATACTTAGCCCTCACAGTTCTACGGTACGGCTACGTAAGCCTCCACACACACAGAGTATATATACGGCGTACGTAGCCTAGATAGATGCTCATCCAATACATCACTTACCTCGTTCAATGCATTGTTTCACCTCCATCCTCACTTTGATATACATCACCTCGTTTGAAGACAAAAGTAAACCACCATGATACTGTACTCGTAGTCATCCTCTCTTTGTTAAGAATAGACGATTCGTTACACCACCCCGCTATACTGCTACCGTTTCCTTGCTCAAATGCCTGCTTAGGCACACGTACGGTGGCGAGGATGAGGAGCTCGCGCTCGCGTTCCTCCATGCCATGCGCCCGCTACTGGAGCGCATGTAAATGCGAGGGAATTTTGTCGAATTTTGAGGGCTTGTGAGAGGTACGCAAGTGAAGAGAAAGTGCTGCTGCAGAATCGGAACGTCGACAGCTTGCGGAAGAGCTGGTTTGTCAGCTATGTAGCACCCACCAGCAAAGTCAAGAAAACACTCGGGGCCATAAAATTTTACTAGAAAAGCGTTTCGATGTGCGTCCAAGGCATTTACAATACTCCTGTGATAATCTACTTAAATGAGACTACCATCCGGCCATTCTCCACTTTCCCGGCTTTCATTAAGTCGATCATCTCGTTAAGGTCCTCGAGCTTGAATTGTCGAGGATGAATCTTTGGGAGAAGGTTTCTAGAAAGAGTGAAGTCGAGACATCGTATAGCAGACTCTGTTCCAGCAATCTTTGCGCCAATAAAACTATGTTCGTGTCAGCTGGAATATCGTGCAATAACAACATTGCTCATATAACATAAGATACTCACCTGATGTTGTTTCTGGAAAGATAAGCCGCGCTAACGGGGATTGGTCCTGGAGGCACACCAACGGCAATAATTCGTCCTTCTGGGGCTACCAATGGGAAACTCGCAGCGTATGCTGGAAGCGCTCCGGTAGTGACTATGAGACAGTTCAAGAGCTTGCCACCGTTCACCTCCCTCACGCGCTTGCACAACTCGGGGCTTGTCAGGCCTGAGGTATTGATGATGTGCGAAGCACCTGTACCGTCAGGAGCCTTACAAGCTTCCAGCTGCTCATCCCGCACATCAAGTGCGATAACAGTTGCTCCGAGTGCAGCTGCGTACTTAACAGCAAGCTGGCCTAGACCTCCAGCCCCGATGATAGCAATTGTCTCCGCAGGTCTGATTTTGGCGCGTTCCAATGCGTCCCACACTGTGATACCAGCACAGAAGACAGGCGCCAAGCGCTCGAGAGGCACGCCATCAGGTGGTGTGACCGGAATAGCCAGGGATGCATCAAGGGCGCAATATTCGGCGAAATATCCTGGGGCATTGATACCCTTGGCTTTAAGTGTGTCACAGTACTGCTTGCCGTAGCTACAACCAGAGCACTCTAGACAAGCGCCGTGCCATGCAGTGGCGCCGACAACATCACCGACCTTAAAGCCATATGAGGAGGCTCCATGGCCGAGCGCCGCGACAATGCCTACTGCCTCATGGCCTCCAATGATTGGGAAGACGCCAGGCCCGTACTCTCCTGATATGACCCCAACGTCGGAATGACAGAGCGATGTCGCTCGCATCTTCAAGAGGAGTTCGCGCTCTCCCGGGCTTGGTACTGGAACGGTGTCGAATGTAGCAGGATGGCCGGCCTAGTGTTGAACATTGTCAGTATATAACGGAATTATTGTGAATAGTCATATCAAGCATATATCTACAAATGCATAAATTTAATACCTGGTGATACACAGCGGCCTTCATTGTTTTAGGAATAGCTGACACATTATCCACATCGTCTAACGACATGATGGATATAATTCGGGGAAGATATGAAGAGCAGAATCGTAATGCTATTAGGAATGCTAATCTGCTCCGATAATAGAGTAGCTTTAACTGTAGACGGGCGATAATATTGACGTCCCAACTTAACGAAACTCTTGAACTGTGGGATCACGCACTATAAGTGCAGTAACAAACACAGTTCCGCAACAAATCCGCACCAAATCCGCAAGATAATGTGGGGTAATGTAGAGTCTAACTTCGGTAGGGATACTATGCAAAATATGCGAAGCTTACCGCGAATAGTTCTCTTACACCCTAAGCTTTGTACCCCGCACTATGTACAATAACCGACGCCTCTAATTTTTGCCAGATCACAGACCTGTCCAGTCACTATTTTATTATTCACGTTTCCTAAACCCGTTTTGCCGCCAGGGGATGGAGCAAAGAGGTGGCCGATAGCCGTGACGGGACGTGGTGATGGAGAAGACCTGTTGCGCGCGGCTTGGCTATTTTCTCTGAGGTGAAAAAGAGGGATTGGCAAAGCAATGAAGATTGAAAGTGCGCTGGTAGAGTTTCTTATTCTACCACAGTCCTCTCTAATCTGAAGAGCTAAATTGACACCTATGTTCACACTTGCCTCGCTCTATTAAATTGTGGTTTTAGAACCTTAAGAGCCCTCACCTCTAACATACTAGGCTTATATTATTACTCTTCTATTATGAATTTATTTAGCTTGAGCCTTACTGTGTACTATTCTAAAGATTGTTTAGTAATGGTACAGCCTCTGGACCTCGAGGGGACGTTGGGAACCCTATCAGCCACTCGTGGCTCTACCCTTGCATGGATGATAAAGTGGCGCAGATCAGCCTTAGGCTGTTATCCATCGAGGGTAAGTTTACTCGAGAATTAGGGGCCTGAAACTGGGACCTAGCAGGCCTACGGGCCCATTTCTGGGCCTTCCGAGGCAGGATGAGGACCCCAGTCTCAATCATCCCTATCGAATACAGGGCCCAAAAATGGGTTCCAGCGAGCTGCTCAGTCTCGGCTCAGATGCGCTTAGTCTCTGCTCAGGATGCGCTCACCCAGCACAGCCACAGCTCAGGCTGGAGCGTGAGCAGCTCAGGTTCCTGGACGGGAAAGGAAATTGCTTGGGTGCACATTGGGATATCGTACTACCTATTAGGAGAAATCGAGAGGCTTTCAGTCAGGAGCACGTGAGTGAGGGTAGATCACGTGGTACCAACTCGCGACGAAAAGAAGACAAATCAGAAATACCGAGGAAGAATAAGCGGGATATATCGGAAGTCATTTGAAATCACACTCACGCAAAACCAACACAGCTCCAATGCACCATAACAGTCTCGAATTATTATCTCCGGACATAGTTCGGCAGAAAACCCTACTTTCCACTATCATCCTCTCCTTTCCTCCCCTGCTTCAATTAAGTAAATAGCTACTCTGTCCCAGGAAAATGTTGGAAAATGCAAGACATGACCCTTTTGTCCCCCGTTGAATAAAAAAAAAGTGTGATATAGGACCAGAAATCCGGAAATAAGGACCGCCGGGACGCTTGAAAGAAGGAACGAACTGGATCAAATGGTAGACGCGCTCGCCGTGTATGCATCGAAGGGAGTGTGGTATAGAGGGTTAAATCGTGTGATATCGGTATCGGCGTGGATGTCGAGGACCTAGCGGGAGGCTGTATACGGGAAAACTCTGAGATGGTGGTTCGGAGTAAGGCAAGATCGAATCCCGGACATGGGGATGGTAGTTGTCTACAACACAAGTGCGAAGCCAGCGAAGAGCCCAGCAAACACAACGGCAAGACCATAACTGCTTCCGACTTGCATGGCCGTCGTAGCAGCACCCTTCTTCGCAGATCCAGTGCTTGTGGCTGCAGCTCCGCCGAAACCGGTGTAGACGGCGCCGGTGGCAGTCGTCTGGGCGTTCGTTGCAGCGGCGCCCGTGCCGGTGGGCTTGGAGGTTGCGGAAAGGGTGCTGCTGTTGGCTCGGACGGGGCTCTGGGCGCCGCAGGGGTGGTTGGCTCTGTGAAAGAATTAGATTGAGGTCTCAGAAAGTCAAGATGAGGGTTGAAGAAAGGAAAATACGAACCTGCAATCGTTGGAGCAAGCGTTGTCCTGTCCACAGCCAGCGACGCACTGGTTACCCCATTCCTGGCAGATGTAGAAGGGCACAGTCTGAGAGTACTCGGTGATGTTTGGTGTCTCGCCTTTATCACAGACGCAGCTGAACGTGAGTGTGGTCTGGGAGATGTTAGCTCATGAAGAGACTGAACTCCAATGCTTGGGATACGGAGACAAGGAAAGCTTCTGGGTTCTATAGACTGCTACACGGTACTTCCTCGGCTCCATTATCTGCTACGGGTGTATCCCTATATCTTATTTAGATACGAGAACCGGTAGGATCAAATGTTGCCAATGAGCTCCACTAAGCATCGAGACCCCGCAGAAGCTTCCCGATAGATTGAGCTTACGGGGTCGCAGGTGTTGGACTGGGTGGAGGCGGAGTTCTCGGGGTATTGGAGGCAGATCAGAGGGCACTCGCTCGTTTGCTGGTTACACCAGAACTCTGTCGGGTGTTAGGTTTGTTTCAGCTAACATGTAGAAGATGGACTCACGCCTGAGGGAGAGGCTGACGGAGTTGGGGTCGATGGAGTATTGCTCTTGGGAGTAGGTAGAGCTGACTAGGGCGAGGACGCCGAGGGCAAGTGTCGAACGCATGGTGGTATTAATGTGAAGTTGGGGTTTTTTTTACTGAAGCTAGAGAGTGCTGTTAGCAGATGTTGAGACGGAAAGATCCAGGAGAGTCGGGTTGGAAGGCAGTGGTTGCCGGGGCGTCGAGGAATGAAGAGCTCACTTCTGTTGCTGGCAACGATGGCACGGACAGCACAGGCACGGACAGCGACAGTGGAATGAAGCGGTGATTACAAGACGATACGGGTAGCTGCTGAAACGACGGAAGGCGGGGAGAAGAAGAAGAAGTCGCTGCAGAAGTCAAGTCGAAGCACCAAAGCGAGTGTGGTGGTGAATGGTTGCAGTGATAAGGGCAGCGGGCTGGGGGTTTAAAAGGGAGGTGAGCTTGGGGAGCGCTTGATCGATCGCGCACCCTTGCTTCCAATTGCTGGCTTGAGTCGCCTCAGCGCGCGCCATGGTCGGCCGGTGGTCTTTTTCTCCGCACCGCGGGCTGGATGCGAGCGCCACGGCCGCTCCGGGCTAGGCCGCCGCGGTGGAGAGTGGCCGGTCATGTCTGTTCTGTTTGATGCTGCTCGGCACGACGCCCTTTCGCGGCCGTGCGGCTGTCGAGAACACCAATTGGCCAATCAGCGGGCCGCCTCAGCCGTCAGAGTCACCCCGGCGTGCATCGATATTTCCAGGGTCTGCCGGTCTTGTCCCCATTGCGACAAGCTTGAAGCAGCTATCCCCAATCGTGGGTGTGGTGGTGACTTTCTTTGTCGCTCCACCACCTCTACATCCCTCTCACCGCTCGACAACCCGTCTCTCGCCCCGCAGCTGCATAGATAGTAGCAACAAGCCGGACTGCCGCGTCCTACTTGATGGATGGAGTCTGCGGGCTCTGACACCCCGCCGCAGAGCCGCCACGCTGGTCATGGCGCGACCCAGTCCTCCGACCCAGCGGGCATCGTGATCCCACCGTATTGGCAGCAGCATCAGAGGAGCACCAGCAACGTCTCGGTCGACAAGGCCCAGTCGGCCCAGATCACCCTCGAGGACCACACCGACGAGGGCTCCGAGCAGTGCAAGGCCCTGTGGGCAAAGCGTGTGACGATTGACGACTACGTCGTCGTCAGTGGCACCACTCCGGGCGTGGGCGCCTATGTCGTCTGGAACTGCACCGTCGAGACCCTGGATGTGAGTGGCCTCCTGCTGCCCTCTGCGCGTTTTGATTCCGGACGCTATGTATATGCAACTCGCCTCCGTGCTAACCACCTGCAGGGCGGCCCCATGAAGATAATGAAGAGGTAGTCGAGAGCCCACCGTCTGCTTCTCTGTTGCTACCACTCACTCTGCTCAGGTACTCCGAGTTCGACGACCTGCGCAACAAGCTGGTGAAAACATTCCCACATGCCGGCGCTGCCATGCCGCCGTTGCCACCGAAGAAATTCATCTGTACGAGCTGCCACCCTTTCACTCCACCCCTCACCCTCCACTTGCCTGAACGGGCCAATCTAATGTATTGGATCACAGCACGCTTCCGCCCGAGGTTTCTGGAGCGCCGGAAAGCTGGCCTTTCTTACTTTCTCAAGTACATGCCCTCGGCCGCCGTTGCCGTGATATGCGGCTAGTGATATCGATGCACCCCGCTGACTATTTTTAGCTGTGTCTTGCTCAACCCCGAGTTCTCTGCATCTCCCGTGCTCAAGGAGTTTCTCTTCTCGTAATCTTCCCGTCGATAGTTAATACTCCCGTCTTGCGAGCGAGAGGTAGCTCTGATTAATCTCTAATGTAACGTGGCTGTTGGATTGGGCTGGATGGATGCCGCCACAGTGGGAAGACTGACAGACTACTGAACGTTGATGTGCAACACGAGTCTGTGCAACATGTCAGGATGATCGGATGGCACGATCAGAGATGGGTGGATGTCTCAGATGAAAACTAACAGTCGACTGTCGGTAAAGTCGTGGTCTGCGGAACAAAGTGTGTGTATATATATATAAAAGACGAGTCCACATCACACCAGACGTGACCTCAATTTAATATTGCTATGCATCTCATTTTGGTGGCGGCTGGCGGAGCCGAAAACTTGCCTCCTCTTCCAACGTTGATCAATGCTTCTATCGCGCTCCAAAGTCACCGCTAGCCGTGATGTTGATTCCAGCACCTCTAGCAGTGTAGAATTCTCGCAAATTCTTGCTACAATCTGGTGTGAATGCTGAAAGGTGAAGACATAGATGAGAACATGTGTGAATCGTCACTGTAACGCAGTGAAGCCTCCAGCTTCCTCCACCTGCTTTCGGCAGAGGGCAGCCCCTAACGTCAAGGACCCCATCGCCGAACGGGCCCTTCAAGCCAAACACGCCCCAATTGCCGGGTCCCTCGCAGGCGTCGCAGTAAAATGCCCCGTCCAACACAACATAACCATGACAGACGAGTCCCGGTCAACGGCTCGATCGTCGCGCAGAGTCGCGAAATCTGTTCCTAAACCTCCCGCGCCGGACTCACACGCACCCACGCCGCTATCCACCAGCACCAACACCACGGCGCCCAGACGCCCGCCCAAGGGCAAAACGCAAAGGACGCTTGAAGAGACGCTGGCGCAGCCCTCCTCCAACACGGTCGCGCAGGTCCTGATCACCACGCGCAACAATGCTCGCAAGCGACCTCAGCCCTCCCTCGACGCGCCGACCGAGCGATCGAAACCGCCTACCAAGGTCTCCCTAATCCAGCCTCATGCGAAACTCCTACAGACTACAAACGGCGTACAGACCGTCCTCCCGCTACGCGACGACGATGTACACTCTGGCCGCTCCACGCCGCAGACCAATGGCGAGGGCAGCCTGCTCGCGGTGCCCTCGACGTCACGCGGTGGGCAGGAGAAGCGCACGCTGAGGTCGCAGGACGGTGGATCGCGTCTGAAGAGCGACCTCAGCATCTACTTCCCCAATTACGACGATATCATTGCGGACGCGCCCAAGCAGCCTGGTACTCCTCTTCGCGTTGCATCTGAACTACGTCACGCTGACACGCGCAGAATTCCTCGAGCCAGACACCCTCATCTACATCGTCGACGAAGCCCTCAAAACACCCAAAACGCGCAATGCTAGCTCGACACCAGCTCTCAGGGCCTCAATCAGCCCGACGAGAGCGCGAAAGAAGTCGGTTACCTCGCTTCCGAATGGTGTCGTCCTCGCGTCCTCGAGTAAACAACCGCCCAACCGCACCTCCACCCTCTACCAAGTCGTCGACTACACCGCCAGCGACCGCCATGCGCCTAAGAAGCCTACCACAGACCCCCTCGCCGATGCACACTTCTTCACTGCCCACCGCCGCGCCGAGCGCAAGGAGAAACAGCTCCGCAACATCGAGAAGGAGCGCGCAATGCACGAGAAAGTCCAGCTCGAAAGGCTCCTCGACGGCCTCCAAGGCCCAGACTGGCTAAAAGTAATGGGCATAACCGGAGTCACCGACGGCGAGCGGAAAGACTGGGAACCAAAGCGCGACTACTTCGTAGCAGAAGTGAAAGCGCTGGTCGATAAATTCCGCATCTGGAAAGAGGAGGAGAAGCGGTTGAAATCTGAGCGCGAAGCCGCCCTTCTCGCGAGAGAAGAAGAGGAGGAAGCGAACAGCAACGAGGACGGTGAAAGCCCGGCTGAAAGCGGGACAGTCCCTAATCCTACGGATGTTGACGCATGGGCTGCGCTTCAGCTCCAAACTGAGGCTGCGGCTACGGCGTCTTCGTCACATCCGCCTCCAAAACGGAATCGAAGACCAGCACATCAGAATTCTTCTATCCTACTACCACCACCACCTCTTGAACCGCCAAAGCCCTTTACGAGCTTTTACGCGAAGCCGCATCTGCGGGAGGCGGCTTTAGGGAAGAGTCGCCACGGGCGGAACGTGACAGCGTTTGGACAGCCGTTGCCGGAACCGCAGGAAGAGGAGTTTGCGCTACCGCCGGAGTATCTGACGGAAGAGGCGTTGAGAGCACATGCGCGGAAGCGGAGGCGGGTGCGTAGGGATAGAGACAGCATAGGTGGAACCGCCAGTACCCCGGTGGGGAAGGGGAAAGAGAAGGCAACAGATGGTAAGGGCGGCGGATAGGGTGGTGGGTGTCTATGTCATCACTCCGGAGTACGGTGTTTGGGATCTAGCTCGGGCTGGCTGATGCCTGGTTTGTTTGAGGGGATATCCCACGGCGTATGGGTGTTTATGTATAGGGTGCGTGGATGGAGCGACACTAGCCTCCTCCTTCCTCCAGGAGGCACAGTGCGTGCGCTGCTCACAGGGGTTTGGATCCGGCGTTTGGGATGGTTGTGCTGTATTATAAGTACTAGCCGGAATACTAAAGACATTGCCCGGCCTAGGCGATATGAAGTAGCTAGCACGTCTTTCGTCGTTTGTTCTCTCGCACCTTTCCCTCATTTCCTTCTCTGTTTCCCATTGTTTCGGTTTGGCGTGTCTTGAAGCATGAAAACTCAAGCGACTGATTTCCAATCCTCGCCCCTCTTGACGCTTCCAAACCAATCCCCCGATCCGCCGCAAGCGTTTTCCCTTCCACTTCTTCGGATCCGGCGGCTCCTTCGCCAGCTGAGAGCCCCCACTGACCCTCCCCCCCCCCACCCCCCTGGTGATACAATTGTGTAAGTCTCCTGCAAAAGTACCTTTCAACACTCCACTGCCACACGCTGACCTTATTGATCATGAGGTAGCATCCTCGAACCCGGAAAATATTATAGACGCCCTTCGGTGAGTACGGTTGTTGTAGCTGGATGAGGGGTACGCGGTACGCAGATTACGCCTGCACGTTGTGAGTTGTGACGAGGCCTGCGGAACTGTGGAAGGTAGTAAGAAGTAGCGTTTAACAGAGTCACTGTCTGTGGGAAAGCGGTGGAGTTTGGAAGGGGTCGGCGTGCGAGATTGATACGGTTCTGTGCTTTTCGTCTTCGAGGATGGGGATGGGGGATGTGATTTGGGGCCTGGGGTTGGGAAGGGAGGTCTAGAGGGTGGGTATTGAGGCCGTTGTTGTGAGGGAAAAACAGAGCTTTAAAGAGAAGAGTCGAGGCGAGGTGGGAGGTTCTGCGGTTTCAGGGCCGCAGACACATGTCTAATGCTCAAAGCTTCTAGGTGGTGAGAGTTGCCGTTTTGTGGAGAGCGTACTTCTGGATAGGAAAGGATGAGTTTGGATATGGGTGAGGGGTGATGAAGCCGCTATGCCTGGTGCTGCTGATGACTTCTCCTTCAGATCATTCCGACCTAATCTATAGCGTTCGGGTAATGGCATGATGCTTTTAGAGCAGTATCGGGATGGTGTTCCCAGGAGGTAAGTCTTGAGAGAACCGTGTGTATATCTTTTGCACTCAGCACACACATTGATGCATGGTGCTGACTAACTTGTGTAACCTCCAAGGCTGCCAGCACACCTCGCCGCAAGCACAGCCTCGAGCCCACAGATGGACGTTCTACTCCATTATTAGCAAATCATCGAAGTAAGCTCACATTCATCTCACCATCATGAGTGAGACCTTCGACTGGAGTTTCCCAGGTCTTGACAAAGCTCACTTCACTGCTCTCGCCAATCTTCTCTCCCTTAGGAATGGCGGGCAAGTCGAAGAGGCTTGGCTGCCCGACGATGTACTGGAAGAGTACTACGACGACGAGTCAGATACAGCTAGCGTTGACACTGCAAATGCTCATTAGATAGCGTATTCCGGGCACGACAGGCTTAAGAAGAAGTTTTTGGACTGTCTCGCCGAATTCGCTGCGAATAGAAAAGGTGGGAGGGCTGTTGTAGCCACAGCCATGAAAGAGTCGGAGGATAGTGTGACTTTATGGATTGCGCGGAATGAGGGGTTTCCGGAGCTAGAGAGACCAGTTTATGATAGGTTGGGCAAGCTGCTGGGGAGGTTGTCCGGTAGCCAGGGTAAGCAATGTATCCAATAACCACTTCGGAGAAGACAGCGATATTTACGTTTGCAGGCTTGGGGGAGGAAGCTGTCAAGAAAGAGCTCTGGAATGAGATGCTTGCATATCATCAAGATCGTATCCAGGGTGACTCTATCCCTAGTTTGAGAGCTGATTTCAAAGCTCTGGGTAACAGTATGTCGATTGGAAACCATACGACCTTGGAGAATGAGCTCTTAGACTTTCGGCAGCTGCTCTTTGACGTCGCAAAGACGGGACAGTCTACAACTGACCAATACAGCAAGATTGCCACATCGGCATACGAATTGCGAATGAGGAAGAGAACCGGGGAAGCACTGTACAGCTCTCCAGGTGCTACTTCAAAAACGAAGAAGCTCTGGATGGACATCTCTCTGCTCGCTAGACTCCGAGTCACGTTTGAGAAGTTCGGAGAGACTGCGCTCGCTTTCCCGAGCTTCAACGAAGTCACCATTATTCTCCTGCCTCGCGACTCGACATCGATCGCATCGCCCAAATGCTCTCTGAACTTGAAGCAGACGTTCGGCATCCTAAACCTCAGCCTAGATGGTGACACCATCGGGAGCGTGCTACTCAACAAATGTAACGTAAAGAAAGCTGGAAAAGAATTCACTATCCGACAAAAGCAGAGACTTAACACACACTGCGAAGTCCAACTGCTCCTTTTTCTGTCCCGCAACGAGCCGTCAATTCATACGATACTACCATACTTTGGATGTAGCAAGTATAGTTGCTTCGCCTGTGCTCGATTACTCAAAGCCCATGGGAAGTTTGCTACGAGGGGCTGCCATGGGCGTCTCTTCAAATCATGGAGTCTGCCTGAGGTAGCCGAACTTCGACCGGGACAAGCAGATCAAATAGGCAAAGCTTTAGTACAGGTACAGAAGGACATCAAAAGGGAACTGAAGTCTGCTATAAAGAGAAATGTGCTTCCAGCCAAAACCTCTGCTATTGGCGGAAGTAGTGTTTTTCCTTCGGCGGCGAAGCACTCACGACGAGAATCGGATGTCGAGCGATGGAGGTTAGAATCCGAGCAAAAACGAGTTGCTGAAGCGTTCAAAAGGTAAGCAAACACACAGGCCCCGTCGAGTTGCCGAGTAGAGAGCAGTCGTGCTTCAAAGCTGACCATAGAGACAGGATGACGCTTGAGGAAACTCAGTCCATTTCCCATATGCCGACAACGACGTCGTTATCAGAAGATACCTGGCTAGGGTATCATCAAGAGCTTGACGAGGAGTTGGGCGAATGTCGGCACTGCGATAGAACGACCTCCCGAAAATGCAGCGTTTGCAACAAAGATTTCTATTGCAGTGAATTATGTGAACAGAAAAGATCCGGATATCATCTCTTCACCTGCGCCAGGCGTCCTCTCACATCCGCCGACTTCCTGTGGAGATTTCTCGTCCGAGACGAGCTCCCCACCGACGCAGACACAGAAGTTTTCGAAGACTTCGGCTTCAGCCATCTCCCATCTTTCGCGGACCGATCCAAACTTCTAGGGCTTTACCAAGGCCTCTATCTCTTAGGAGAGGTGACCGCGGAGGACCTCCACAAATGGCGCACCGAAGGTACCCTCATCGCTAACATCAAGGCCTTCTACTACCGCATCCCTGAAGCCTCCCGCGGCGGCTACTTTCCCTGGTTCTTGAAGCACACCCACATCCTTGAGAGTCCCATATCCGGCAAGGAGGCAGCGGAAAGCATGATCACCACGTTCTTCGACCAAGCGTGTACATACCTGGACCCCGAAGACCAGGGCAAGAAGCCGCAAGAATTGAAACCGGACGCCAAAGCCGCGTGCTACATTATGCTGGCAGAGGTGCTGCACATGGGGCATCCAAACCCCATTGAAGAGAACTAGTATACCTTCGGCTTCTGCACATGCCAAGGCGAATACGAAGAACGGGCGCTTGGAGGGATATATGGACGCCTTCTTATCGGTGATAAGCTCTTCCACGATGTTGGGTTAAACGACAGTAATACAACAGCTACCTTCACGGAATTTTGGCGGGCGTACGAGAGTCAGGCTCCCTCATCAAGCTCATGGATTCCCATGGCTTGAAAGGGCCCTCGTTCCGACATCTCGAGTCTTTTCTCTCAGTCCCACCGTCCGGACCGCATAAGTCGGTGTGGGGCTTGAAACAATTCCTCGCCATCAGTCAACCTACCGAATATCCGCCTGACGCATCTATCCGATTTGATTACGGATTCAAGAATTGTCGGAACTTCGAGGAGACGTGTACGTTGATGGAGATATACAAGCAGTTGCTGCAGCAGGCAGATCCGCTGGATTTGCATGAAGCATGCCTAGCTGGTAAGCTATTTGAGTTTGCGGAGAAATTTCATAAGATCAAGGAGGAATGGAGGAGATTGATGGAGACCATGTACCCGCTTTAGGAAGAGATCGACGGACGAGGGTCGGATGGACCTAGGACGGGAGGATGTTGGTGATGATATTGCGGTCCCACGACGGGATGAGAATAAGTCCCTAATCCCCCAAATACACGCGGCGCTCCCTAGCTGCCTCCTTTCGAAGGGGATGGTTCTCAAAACTTCATGAGTTCCTGTTTCCACAAGTCCAATGCTTTCTGATTCTTAAGGTGTTAAAAATACCCCCTTACAATCCTGGATGTAAATGAGTGCAGCTTCCTATCATCATCTTCACCCTTCTGCGATTCTCGTCCGAACGTGCGGCCGAGACACAGTCTACAAAACACACTCTTCCACCACACCCAGATCAAAAACTGCAATCATGGAAGAGTTTCTCATATTCAAGCCATACCTACAAGATTGAAGCGGGCCCCAACCATCGCCGCGCCCTGGCCCCTGCCAGAACCGACAGCTATATGCAGGGTCACATTGAAACATCACAGAGAGTAGATACTGAGATCGAAAAGAAAACTAGCGCCTACCTTGGAGCGGGCCCCAACCATCGCCACATACTCCGGTCCGTGCCAGCCGATAGCTATATGCAGGGTCCCATCTACGAGGGTGAAGGGGTGGAGCGTGAGAGGGATGGAAGAAGGGAAGGGTTAGGGGAGAAAGGGTATGAGGGAAGGGTTAGGGAGAGAGAAGGGGTAGGGAAGGGAAAGGGTAGGGAAAAGGTGGATGGAAGGTGGATAAGTAATTGAGAAGGGTTAAGTGGGTGCGGTGATGTGGTGGTGGTGGTGGTGGTGGTGGATTGGTTTTAGTGTGATATGTTGAGAAGTTGCTGTGGAAGGAGGAAAAGGGAGTTTAAACACCTCTACCGACTGCGGGAAGCGGGGAACACTGAGGGTGAATATGGGAGGGTAGGCGTGCGGGGCGTTATTGAATGCCATGGGTAAGCGTGGTGGTGGGGGCAGTAGAAGATGTCGGTCGCGGTGAGTGGTGAATGCGAGGAAATTGGCTCAATACGCGTCATCAAGGCAGAGATTGTAGAAAAAGTTGGATTTAAGTGCTCGTGCTCGCTATCGAGAAGACTTCATACCCTTCCACACGCGAACCCTCCCATTGCCCGCTATCTCCATCCTGAAGAAAGAAGAATGCAGAAAAAAGATGAAGTCCGATTCTTCGTTGAGACTGTTATGCGGTTATGCCCAGGGATGCTTCCGTTTGCTTTCCACCCACGACCATCGCTCACACGACGGAATCCATCTCATTCTACTCGGATCTAAGCGCCCTCTGCCCAAGGTACTCATCGGCGACGGCACAGGTCCGACTTTTTACTCCAACAGCCCCCTAGAATAGGCGATATCTGAGGCCATCTGCCAACTTCAGTTCTCATCCCACGAGCTCGTGGAGCCTAATTGTTGCTATCCTGCGAGCAACGTTTCGCTGGCCGAAGGCCATGAGCTTGAATGTGTTCGAGGTATTGGGTCGATTTTGACAACGTTCAGACGGTTCCGTTGATCGTTATTGTATTCTCATCGGGTTTCCGTGCCGGGAATTCGATCATGCCGCGCATTCTGTCTCGAAAGGAGGACTGCATCACGGACACGAGGTGGTCGATACCCATGGAAGCAAAGCGGTAGACAGGGCCAATAAAATCACGGCCTGGTCGGACAGGGTTTTTCCACCACATCGAAGATCTTTCCAAGCTCCAGCGAGCGGCAAAACGCGAAACAGCGTGCGAGGGTTGAATCGTGTGACAAACGTTACCCATATAGGTTTCGAGAGGCACAGAAAGTGAGGTAGTGACATGTGGCCACTATCAACCCGCATTTGATGTAGACCCGTTGCTATTGTTGGTATGATTGGCCAGGTTGCTCAGGGTACTCCTGATGCTTTCAATCCTGCTGGTCTGGCTGTTTCGGCGGCTCTGGTTGGTGGGCATCGTCTCGCCACTCCTCCGCTCTAACTCGTCACTGTACTTCGGACACAGCTCATACGGACGGTCCTGATACTCCTTCTTCTTCCAGAAATCACTAGGCCCATCGTGTCGAATCGAGTCAGAGCTCTCTGGGTCAAAGCGGAGACCACCAGCCATTCCGTGCTCCTCGAAGCTGCCTGGGGGAGTTTGATCTTGAGTTTCTTTTCTAAACCCTAGCTTCTTCAGTGCATCGTATAAAAAGTTGGTGATGGCGATTGTATATCGGCGTGGGGCGTCTACTGCGGGTTTGGAAGCTGTTTGAGCCAAATCTGGCATAGATTTTGCCCGCACATGCCTCGGGAGATTATCCGTAAAAAGAGCATCTTGCTCACACACTGCAAGTGGGTCTCCGTTGCCCAAGGGCTCTGACCTCCCCCTCTCGAAGTCCTCTTCCATCTTAGCCTTTCCCTTTCCCTTGTCTATCCTGGGGCCGAGGACCCACACGCTTGCTCGACGACGGAAGGAAGTCTTTCGCCGTTTCGGGCTCGGCGCCTCTAACCACAATGGATCGTTCTGCGGGGTGTGTAGCGATTGAACTGTACTAGGTCGATGCGCTCGCTGCGAATCGAAGCCATTCCGTAGAGGCAGTCTGGCGATCGCAGAATTGCGTTTGACGATTACAGAGTGAGCAGGAGAGTTTGCTGGAGGTACATCTGCGTCAAACAGGTCGTCCACAATCCGTTGTCGTTTTGCATAATACACAGCCATGTTGCGAGAGAGACCTTATGCGATAGTACAGTACGAAATAGAAGAAGTGGCAAAGATCTCTGCGGACGATTCGAGAACACAGGAAAAGGGATCCATGGGGTGGGAAGCAATGCTTTTGAGTAGGGAAACACAGGAGGCTGGGACCGGCGCCAATTTGGACACTACTACGTCGGAATTGGAGGCCGACGAAACACGATACCGTGGGTAGTAGGTGTGCCAATTACGACACTTGCCTTTAGGGAGGCTTTAGGAGGTAGATCAGCAGTATGTCGAATCGAAGTTCATGTTTTATTTAGCTGCCAATGCCACGAAAAATAGTTTTTAGAAATCCATCACACGGAAGCAGGTTCAGGTTGCACCTCTTTACATGACATCTGATTCGCTCTCCTGCTATGCTGAGCCTTGGAAGTACTCAAGGAGCATTCCGAAACTGCATACTCTGACGCGAGAAAGTTTGAGTTGTGGATACGCCAAGTTGAGATTTTCTGGGTCGATGATGGGGTCGAGGGGTTCGGACCGAGCCATTGAACCAAACATGCATAGAACTTAGGAACTATTGGGTCTTTCCGAGTAGATTTGAAGTAGCTATGCGAACCATTCGTCTTAAAGTATTAGGTCTCTTTGGAGACAGTTATTTGAGGACCCATTTCGGCGTCTTCTTCGGCGGTTTACTGGGAATCCAGACGTTGTCTCCGTGGGGAATTTCATGGTAGACAGCTTCTAGAAGGGCTCTAAGAGAGTTCTAGTGTGATAAATGAGGTCTGCGTCGTTTCCTAGCTCGAAGAAGATGATCATGTAGATGTGGTGCTGAAGGAGAGATGGGATAAAGTCGAGGTATACGGCATACTAGAGAGATGGTTGTAGCAGCTCGCGGTCCAAGCTTCTTCTTCAATGACACCACCAAAACCATCAACCCTCTTGTACGTCAACTTACCTCTTCCACTAATGAACTCTATTCAATTAGGCTTGTAATGCCACCTCGAATACCGATCCGGTCATACGTGCCTCGCCGTGTATTGAGAGCCGTCCACGCACGCAGTTTTGCGTCTACAGCGGCGAACCCAGAGCTTTACGATGTAGTTTGTGTAGGTGGAGGCCCGGCCGGATTGAGTTTGCTCACGGCATTGCGTATGTGGTATTGGGAATGGAAGGTCTTTTACATCATGAGCTAGTCCTAATAGCTTTCAGGCGCCTCAAAAACGACATCAAACCTCAAAGTTGCCCTGATTGAAGGACAGGACTTGCAGAAGAACCAGCTTAAGAACGCTTCGCCTGATGTATTCTCGAACCGGTGTAGTTCCCTAACCCCAGCATCTGTAAAGAACTTGCAAGGTACAAGAACTTCCCCAGTAGAGAGTTGTTCCTCGACGCTGATGCTGATTTCTGGGATAGATATCGGAGCATGGTCCCATGTCGACTTGTCACGCGTCCAGCCGTACCAGGAGATGCAAGTATGGGACGGCGTGAGCGACTCTAGAATCTCCTTTGACTGGGACTCCGCACGAACTCCCTGGAAACCACGAAACCCTTCCCAACCTACCACGATTGCCTACATGATAGAAAACCTCAACACAACCACCACACTGCTCTCTCGACTATCAGAACTCGGCGGTGTAACCACACATTCCCCCGCGCGTGTCGAGTCGATTGAGCTTGGACAAGAGACGCCTGATCTAGACTTGCGGTCATGGCCGGCGTTGACATTGAGCAATGGCAAGACGCTGGCAGCACGGCTGCTGGTAGGAGCTGATGGAGCGAATAGCCCTGTCAGAACATTTGCGGGAATACCAAGTCGTGGTTTTGATTACAACCGACATGGTGTAGTCGCATCGTTGAAGCTCGAAGGCCTAGGCTGGGGCGGAAAGGACCATAAGATTGCGTACCAACGCTTTCTACCCACTGGCCCGGTTGCTATGCTCCCTCTTCCGGGCAACATGGCTACGCTTGTGTGGTCGACAACGCCAGAACGAGCTGCGAAATTGAAGTCGTTATCTTCGGTAGACTTCATAGCCATGGTGAACGCGGCGTTTAGACTTTCGACCGTCGATTTGGATTATCTACATACGCTACAGGAAGGTCAGCAGGAAGAGGTTGCGTGGCGAGAGCAACACACGCCTGTCAACGAAGGAAATGTCCCGATGAAGGTCTTGAACGTTCAGGAGGGCAGCGTGGCTAGTTTCCCTCTGAAGATGAGGCATGCTGACACTTATACCGGAGAGAGGGTGGCACTGGTCGGGTAAGCTCCTTCTATACATACCGCCAATACAATCCAGAGCTAACGCATCAGTTACAGAGACGCTGCCCATACCATCCACCCTCTCGCTGGCCAAGGCCTTAACCAAGGTCAAGGCGATGCCGCAGCCCTTGTACGCACAATCGAGACCGCAGTCCTGCACGGCCAGGATATAGGATCTGTTCTCTCACTCGAGCCGTATAACAGTGAGCGTTACGCAGAGAACAATGCTCTGCTTGGGGTGTGCGATAAGCTACACAGGCTGTATAGCGTGGAATCTGGCCCTCTCGTCCCATTGAGGAGTGTTGGGCTTTCAGCAGTCAACATGATGGGACCACTGAAAGGATTCTTCATGCAGAAGGCTGCGGGGATAAGGTAGCCGTGCATACGCCCCTCCCAGCAAGAGCCCATTGGCATCCATTCCCGGTTTAAGTACGTTGGCGAACTCGGGAACTCAGGCTCAAGCATAGATATGTAAACATAGACACATGTATAAATACGGAAAGAAAGATCTTCCAATTGCCATGCACGCTTCTTCTCTTCAATCTGCAGACTCCTTGCTTCCGTACTGCCATATCTAGACTCTCAGAATCCATTTATACGTTAGCGATAATATCTCCTCAGATCAGGGCATTCCCTGTTTCACTAATTGCTTCGATAAGACCTGACTCATCTGGCCTGTATCCGGGACGCTAAAACGCCACTCACCTGACTTCGTGCCTACGCGTCACCTATCATCGCTCAGAGACCTGCAGGATGGCGCGTCGCTGCCCCTCACAACTCCGCTAAAGTAGTTCAGCTGAACTATCGTCTCGCGCCTCAGAAAAAGCAAGGAAACGAAGGCCTTTGTCGAGCTTCGTCGGCCGATGCCTTGATCTCTATAAAAAGGCAAAGAAGGCAACCTCAGCCTTCCTTAAACCACCACCGCCCTGCTCCGCCTCACTCCTCCATCCTTGCCTTCTCTCCTCTCTCTGAAGAACCCTCTACCTTGTCCATAGCAGAAGAAACAACTCAGCAGATATGGCCGACGCCCCAGCTGCAACTCCCGCTGCGTCCAAAACCTATAAAGGTAGCTGCCACTGCGGGCTCATCGCCTTCACGGCCACCTTCTCTCCACCTCTCGACGATCCCGCGCAAGCGGCTATCAACTGCAACTGCTCGATTTGCACGCGAAATGCGTACCTGCTTGCTGTGTGTCCGAGCAGCTCGGTTGAGTTTAGTAGCGGGGAGGATAAGATGAAGGCATGTACCCTCGCTATCCGGAAGCGTGGATCTGAAGGGTAGTGGAAACGGTCAGACTAACGTCGGTGGGGTGTTGCAGGAGTACAAGTTCGGCAGCGGGAAGTTCCCGCATTACTTCTGCCCGACGTGTGGGACGAGCTTGATGTGTGCGACTGGGGACATGAAGGCTATTAATGTGAGTGATTGCCCAGGTGTTGTTGATGATGATGATGATGATGATGATGATGATGATGATGATGATGATGATAGGAGGGGGAGGCTAATGGGGTCTTAGGCGCGGGCGTTAGAGGATGTGGATTTGAAGAGCTTGACGTTGAAGGAGATGGATGGGAAGAGTGTTTAAACACAACCCGGGGCGTTTGAGGGTGAACTGGAGGTTTGTAAAGAGGAGCAAGGCTGTAATTATACGAGCATGGAAACACGTGGTGGAGCTTAACTCATATATATTCCAGTCTTCTATGTCTGAATTGTCCCCCGGCCTGACACCCGTGTTGTTTTTCTCGGGCACTCTCTCCCCCGTGTGTTGTCTATGCCTTCCCAAATGTACACTGGCAATTGCCACTGCCCTGCCGTCGTCTTTCGCGCATGCCCTTACCCATCCCTCAGCCCGCCCATCATCTCAACTTGTGACTGATCTTTTTGTGTTCTTAATGGGTAATATGACCGTGCATACCTCAATCAAGCAATTTCCTCTCGACCATTAAAATTGGGGCATTAGATACGTTACCAAACTTTGGTGAAGGAATGTAGATTTCTTAGAAAGGTATTGATGTATCATGTTTGCGCAGTTTGTGGGACAAGTTTAATTCCGTATTCGGTGGAAGAAGGGGGTCAAAGTGAGTGAGGGCATGGAGGAGATAGCGAGTCTAATAAAAACAGGTGAGGATATTGGAGGAGTTCAATTCAAAGGTTTTAAATTTGAAGTAAGTTTATGGGATGACTTTGCAAGAGGAAAGTGACTAATTAGTGATCAAGGCCCTGTGGAAGGATGGCTAGATTATGAGTATTCCCAGGCCGACGCTCCCGTAGACTCCAATCAGAAATCGACCACCAATACTCGTCGTCGGCACTATAGGTGGTCGTATCCTCAGGCGGCATCTCATGAACATATAAGCCAGACGTATCCTCATCCCACCCCACACAACGTATATCCTTTTCGTGTACTCGTTTCCCCTCTCCCTTATACGAACACACGACCTTGCCTAGGCATCGGCACATAATCTTCCCGAAACCTCGTCCCCCCACCTTGCCTCCTCCCACACTCCCCCGTCGTAAACGTCCAAATCTTTTCCCAGCTCTCATTTTCATTCGTCATAGTTCCCAGCTGTATCAGATATCTAAACATTTTTCTAGCATCCGGTAGGTTCAGGCGCGGCTCCGCGAGTGCTGCAACAAGCGGGCACTTCTCTGGATGCTCGCTCCTAGCCACACACTCTAGGTTCCGCATCTGCCACTCCGGGTCCTCGAGGTCAAAATGCATCGTCAGCTCCCGCAGCTGTTCAAAATCGGCGAGCTCCTCGATCGAGTCTCCAGGCCAGCCGGTAGGGCCACGGATGAAGTCGAGTTCGAGCGTGTGCAGAAATGGCGCATATTCCCGGATTTGTGCTAGTTGATGAACGAGGTAGGGGCGTGTTCGATTGGGACAGTCGCGCTCGAATTCGTGGATGCTGAGTTTACGAAGCGTGGTGCCGTGGCGCTCTAGAATTGGAACTATATCGAGGTGTTTGCCCATGCCTGATATGCTGAGCTCGCGCAGGGGACGCAGAGAGGTTATGAAGGCAGTGTAGTTTGCGCGGAGTTGAGTTGCTTCGTCGTCGAATTTGCAGAAGGTGGTTTCGTTGCCCCGGAAGCTCCATTTGGGGCGGAGGGTTAGGGACTCAAGGCTCTGGAGTAGCTCCTCGCCTTTAAATACGTCCAAGAATGAATTTGGGGGCAGGTCGATATCCAGAGTTCGCAACTTGGTCCAGTCTATATGCTTTTTCCAGCTCGCTACCGATTCTTTCTTGTTACCGCATATGTCGTCCCAGCGATAGTCCGATAGTTCCAGGTAATCCAAAGAGGGGAAGGTGTCGTACCATCGAAAGTTGGAGGACCAGGGATTGGACAACTCAACCAGGCACCCGCCTTGAGCGAAAGAGAGCGACAGCGACTCAACTTTTGGGAAGGTAGTGAGGATATCATAGGCTTGGTCCACTACAAATAGCTCGTCGTTACCATCGTAAGAGGCGCCTACTTGCAGAGTGCTTTGGCATCCCTCGAAGGGGCGCACCGTCCGGTCAATGGTCTGCGTTTTAACGTTCGATTTGTGCTCTTTAGCCCATGACGTGAGGTCGTCGATGATGGGCCAGTTCCACGAAGACCAACTATTGCATCATTGGTATTAGTCTTTCCTAACGAAACAATTTCATAGGTGATCATACCTGACAGTCTCTAAGTTCGGTAAAAGAACCATGATATCTTGCAGAGGCGTCAGGTATGCCTGAGGCGAGCCTGACAAGGGAAAAGCGACTTGAATGTGTCTTATGCGTGCGTTTATTTCCATGGCCTCCTCTCTTGCAATGCAGCTTGCGAGTTCGAGTGCACCGTAGTCATGGGGGAACACACCGAAGGGGTAGATGATTGTGTCGTTCATTTGCTGGAGCCATTCAATGCAATTTATGGATGGTGAGAACGGGGCCAGTATGAGCGAACCTGGCAAAGTCAAAGGGGTGGTTGAGGATGGGTTGGAAGAGTATGCTCTGAAGGGGTTGTAGGTTTGTCTCCTGCGGATGTAACTATGCAAAGGATTTGGGATTAAGGTTATGTATAGTAGAATAGAGGCAAGCCCGAGGAACAATCGCTTCCGCGTTAACCCAGGAGGCATTGTATCTTGAAGGTAAAGAAGTAAAGATAGTAAGCACTAGGAAAAGCGAGTTTGATGATGAAGGACGCATATAATATCTGTGAGATGAGACGCCTATTTCAGGTATCTGCAGTTGGAAAATGTTGGGTTTCAACTCAAAGTCTCGCAATAATAGAAGAGTATGTATGTGATTATTATTCAAGAGACGTGGTACTCAGCAGGTATAATACTGCTGCCTTGATTGCCGAGCGAAGGACCTCTTAGGCTGGGGGCCTGAACAGGTGGCCTGAAATGGTAACTCTAATCTTGACAAAACAGCATGCTAGGTGTGAAATGCAGAACTAATCTACTGTTGGATCAACACGGCGACGAAATCGTCGCGGAAGTTCTTCTGGAAATCCTCTTCAGTCTTTTGAGGTTTCCAGCCCAGCTCCCTGATTTTATGGGCTCTGCTCCGCGAACTAGCAAACGGCCCGTTAGCAATTGGAAACTTCGAGGTAAATAGAAGCTTACTTGGAAGCATATGCCAGCTCAACAAACGGAGCACTCGATCCATATCCTACCTGAACACCCTCTTCCAAGGTAATCGGCTTAAGCTCATTAGTTTTGAGGACCCCCAGGTCCTTTCCAGCATCCGCAATTCCTTGCATAAGATCTCTCCAAGCATAACGCCCCGTCTCTGAGAAATACATCCCCTCTTTGCCTGACGGAATCCTATCTCCATCCAAGATCTTCGCAAGCAAGAACTCAAACATCGTCGACAGGTCGGCAATGTGGATATAATCCCATACCGCCTTCCCATCGCCAAGCAGCAACGCTTGACCGGCTTTGATAGCCGCACGTGTCAAGACTGGTATTTGAATGGAAGTCTTGCGGAAGAAGCCAGTCCCGATTCCGTAGATCGTTGGTGATTGGATTATGTACGTTTTGACGCCGAGTTCGAGGCCTAGTTGAGGGATCACGATATTGGTGGTTCGTTGCGCGTACTCTTCTGCTGCGTTGCGCTCCTCTAGATAGCTGTAGATGTCGTCCTTGTCGGAGAAGACGCGGTCTTCGTGGTATGTACCGGTTATGGGGCGGTCGGCAATGTTGGAAGTTCCAGTTTCCTATGGAAACTTAGTTAATCTAATTAATGCGAGGGATGTGGATATTGCCAACCTGAATGAAATGCAGCTGCTTTCCAGTCTGCTTGCTTCGGTCACCGAGACCGCGAAGAAGGGCCTTCGCGGCTTCGGTTTGAAATGCGAAGGCAGAATTGATGATGACTAGAGGGAAAGTATTAGCAACATCTGGTCTAAAGGTGCAGAAAAGCATAGAAATCAACCCACCATCGTATTCTCTTGCAATCTTGCGAAGCAGGCCCAAATCCTCAATGCCCTGGATAATCTCGGGCTGAATACCCTTGCTTTTTAGTACCGAGGCATTATTTTCGCCGCGAACCACTCCCGCAAGCTTAATATTCTTGAGAGATGCAAATTGGGTTTCGAGTAAGGTGCTCAGCACAGATCCCCCGATAAATCCTGTCACACCAGTGATAAGAACCTTGGTAGACGCCATGTTAATTTGTGAGAGATTGATCTTGGAGAAGTAATGTTGAGCAATTGAGAAGGCCGAGAATGCTGCTACACAACTGAATCGACGAACTGTGATGCGATGATGCTAAGCAACGAACTCCACCTTCTTATACCGTATCTTCCGAGCTTGAGGCTATCAATGAGCTTAGTTTTTGTAACACGTTAGAAATGCGAGGTGCGCTTAACTAGTATTTGACATTATTCAGCGCCGCATTTCTAAGCATTCATTGATCTGCGCCATTGAACCAATCAATGAAGTTAGAAATGAACTCTGCTGCAGAGAAATCGTTTCATGACGTGACTAAACCCACATACCTGTTCGTTTGATCCACTCGGATAGGAAGTAAAAATCCAAGCTTTCCGTCTAGCCGAACGTTCCGTATTCGGTACAGTCGGCGTTCGGCGTGGTCGGGCTTGCCAAGACCAATTGTGCCTCATTGGGATTATAGCTCTTTCACCTGCTCTCGGCACTTGCTCATCACAGCTCCTAAGAGGCTGGTGAGGGAAGTAATTGAATCTGAAGAACGGTGTAAAGTCCGGCCGGTTGTCATGTTACTAGGTTGCAAGAGGATGGCGTGTGGATACGGAAGAGAAGAAAGGGTATGAGGAGCGTTTCCTCGTCAGAAAGCAGGAAGTCATCCGACAAGGGTAAATATGAACGTTAGGAATCAAAACATTTGATTGTCAATCATGGCTCCTTTCTTGAATTGTGATGAACGAGCTCAGATTGACAAATTGAGAATTGCCGTCCATCAAACAAATAGCTTCGTATACAGGACTGTTACGGCTCCTTACATATGTCTGCTACAAGTGACTGCTTATACTCATCCCCCAAACGACGGAATTCCGTGACGCGATATCTCGCTGCGGCGCTTGAATATGGCACACCTCTTCCCATGCCCCAAAAAACAAACGCCAGCGAAACGTTTTCCAGCCCTCTCATAGCATGCAGAGGTTTGAGTAGCCACGCGTATATCTTCGAGATATCATGAGGACGTAGACGTAGGTTATGGAGCAAACGCGGCGGTAGCTCGACTCTTATATGAAGCTCTCGGAGCCGGCTCTCTGGGTGACTGAGCCACTTCACCAAGGTCGGCAACACCTCATCCACCAATGCGCAATCGATTGGATCTATCCCTTCCAGAGCTTTCAGTACGGGCTGTGTCGGGAGTACAATATGCAGCCGTAACGCCTTTATAGCCCACAGGCCTGGATGAGGGGAGGCCAATCCGGCATGAATAGCGGCAGTCCGAATGACGGTCCGTGGATGAAGTCCTATGGATTCATTGCACGCGAACATCTGGTATTCCACCCCGCCGTACCATTCCCCGAGGGCTTCGTTGTAGATTGTCCGGCATGTGCGAAGAATGACCGGATGGCACTTCTCTCCATCATTGCGAAGCGGCTTGGGATTGTAGATAGTCCATGGCTCTACTGGGTTATTTGGGGCCAGATATCGGTATATGTGTAGACGGAGTTCTACAGGAAGTTCTAGGAAAGGGAATGAGGCGGCTGTATGCTTTGCATTGGAGGCTGGCGCTTCAGAGGACATTGCTTGTGTTGTGGATGATGATTTTTCCTAGTAGATTCTTAGCGATAACACTCGAGTGATTGAGGATATCACTTACAGTATTTAAGGAGCCTCGTCCATGTAATATTACTTGAGAGAGCATGGTGAAGGCCTAGATGGCACGAGGGGCATGAAAAAGGTGGCACTCTAATTCTAGGACAAGCTGTCTCGTGGATACCCCCGTCTGCCACTGCTTGAGGTGCTGTAATACACTTTCAGAAATCTATACGGGATGGAAGCTCTTCACTCTGCGCTATGTTGAAACTTGTTGAAGCACTTCAAGCAGTGGTAGACAGGTGCACCTACGAGACAGCGTGGTTGATGAGTGTCAACAGAAAGTGGCAGTCCAGAAAGTGGCAGTCCAGAAATCCGCGAGGTATATACACACTCTAGCTGTTTCCATGCTTATTTAGCACCGCTTGAGGTCCTCTAGTATGCTATTGTTATTCATGAAAGACCGGCTTTGGCAAACCTGATAGCTCTCTTGGCCACCTCAGACGGTGTTGAGCTGCTGAGTGTGCCACCTTTTTCATGCCCCGCGTGTGAGGCCATCACAACACAATTTAGCTAGCATCATGAACAACGCATCTCTATTCGCGGTCTACCCGTAGTCTAAGGCTGTGGTTCTTTGGCTCGGTGTAGAATATTGTCCCGCTTGGCTACCTTGTTACCCAGGAAATGTTCTTTTCGGGACGCATCAAAACATTCGCAGAAATTTTAGGTAGAGTTTCACCGACCTCTCATCCATTCTGGCTACTGTGTACATGTCACTTAGAAGGCCTCGTGGCTCGTGATTACTATATTTGTAATATCTCAAAGCAGAACGTGATATCACGCGCCCGGAACACGCTGCTGTGCCGCTTCCCATTGTTCCACCGAGCCCCATCGGATAGGCACAACTTCAATCGAAAACTGCAACTACTCCAAGAACACAGTCTCGAAAGCCCAAAGCCATGATCCTCGAAACTTTTACCCGAATATTCGTCAATGCAGACGCGTTGCAAAACACCGTCGAGACTTACACGTCTCTCCTTGCAGGGCAGCAAACGATGCGTTTCTCATATCCAGAGACGGGCCTCGAGCTTGCCGCAGTCTCGTCCGAGCACCTCAGCGTCCTAATCATTGCCGGTTCTGCAGAGCACATTGCAGCATTCACAGAAACTCGCCTCACCATCAAGGTCGACCGACTGGAGCCGTATGTGGATATCCTCGCAAATGCTGGGGCCACTCAATTAGATCAGATCCAGAAAACGCCTGTGGGCAGAAAGATGCGATTTCGACATGCGGACGGGATGGTGGTGGAGTATGTGGACCATGAGGCGAAGAAATAGCGGGATTTTACTGTTTGAAATCGAGAAGTAGAATCTGCGTACCCCCTTAACGAAACGGTAATTGCCCTCTTCCCATCGACCCGTCCTTCCTTCAATAAAAATGTTAATTGGAGAATAAGTCACCTATTCTAATCTATTATCTGCTTCAATGGTCGGAAGTCCGAGGTATCCTGGGTGACACGCGTCTCTCAAACCTCACCTCTCCACCCATTTCCGGACGCCTCTCCCTGCGGCGAGCTGCAATAGCACGAATTAGCCTCACGGCGACCTCATCTAATTGAAATGAGGTGAACATACCTTCCTGGGCAGCCATCTGCTGTTGATACCGCTCATACCCCCTCATCTCCGCCTCATGGTCTCTAGCCCTCTTCCTCTCATAATACTGATTGATCTCCCGATTGCGATCAGTCTCTATTCTATCCTGCCGTTCCTGGCGCTCTCTCGCTGCCCTCCTCTGTTCCGTTGTCGGAATTCCTTGAAGGGGATCCCTATCGCGTCCTCGTGACGTATACCGCGGCTCTCTAGCATCACTGTTGAGTTTGGACGCAACGGCGGAGAAGAACCCTAGGGATTCGCTGGCAGACTTTCCCGCGCCATATGCCGTGGATTGCTGAGAGGCAGCGTTCACGCTCATATTGCCGTAGTTCTGAACCGCATGACCGACTTGCTTCGCACCCGCTTTCTTGAGGCCGAGCGCTGCGCTTTTAGAGAAGCCCCATTTGGCGCTGAGGCCTGTACCTTTTGCAACAAGCGTTGCGGTTACGGGGTCGACAATTTTGGTTAGAGGAGGGAGGGATACGGGCAGAGTCTGTTGAAAGTGGTGCTCGAGGCTGGTGTTTGTGCGTTGCCTGGAAGGAGGGTATCAAGCAGGATTTATGCTGCCTTTGGGCTCAGCCTTCCACTCACCTGTACAGGGTATGGATGTTTTTAGTCTTTGCTCTTATTGGATAAAAATAGACGTTCGCGTAACTCGCGTCCTCTATTGGCCTTTCTTTTGTAGGAGGGGAGTGTGGCGGGGTATTCGCCATAGGAACTCATAGCCCAAGACCTCGGATGCGTGGACATGGGATATAGGCTGCCAGCTCAGCCTTGAAGGTGAGGTCGCATTGATTCGAAATCAAAGTAAGGCACTGACATTCCCAGCAGAGAAGCTCTTTGAGCCTTGGCTTTTGGTTACGCATCGTATGCGAAGAGTTAAACTATAAGAACATATACGGCGTGGCGTCCCTTCCTGGCTAATGGCTTAATCATCACAAAACCGTATGTCTATCCTTCCGTTGTAGCTAGCTTCCTCCCTCACTCATCAATCAATACAATACTTGACCATCCACAAAGCCGCTGCTGAGCCACTCTCCCTCAACGGGACGGGTATATTACACGATCCTAAGCCGAGCTGACCTTTGAACCAGTACTCCGAACGAAACCGTTTCCCTTCCATTCGACCACCTATTCATCTGATCTCAAACACCTCTGCTTTGATATCATGCTCATTTTGATACTTGATCGCCTCACCATCCATATAGCCATGAACATAGCACTCTCCAATGAGCTGGTAGTAAACACCATTAACCCTCTCTTTCCGCTTTGATTCCTCATCATTTATCTTGCGTTTCTGGGGCACTAGCTTCGAGTTCGGCTTCGGTTTTAGAGGAGGAGCAGTCTTCGGCCCAGCCACAGCTTTCGGTGCTGAACCGTTCGCCTGTGACACATGCGTCTCCGTCGCCTTCCCAGTCTCTTCATGAAGGTCCCTCTTTCGTTTCCGGCTCTCCCTGAACCCTTGCTGGATCTTGGTTGCCGCTATCTCCCTCTATCGCGCTACTTCCATCTCGTCTTCCGCCTGCTCCTTCGCCATCTCGTCAACCGTTTTCTCAAACCTCCTCAAAACCACAGGAACACTGCATCCGTACAAGATGCATATCAAGTCGCCCTCTTTGACGTCTTTACGCACAATCCCCAAATCACCGTTCCTCGTCCGCATAAGGCTCCTATTCTAGATCACTGCCTGGACCCTGCGAAAGAACTCCGCAACAACAGAAGACCTCACATCATTGATCAGCTCCGTCGTATTCAAGCTCCCGCTCGGAAGCCCCTTCGTAATGCTCTCTTTACACGCCCTCGCATAATATTTCGGCGCATCCCGGCCAAGTTTGCCTCGATCTGCGACTAAAGTGCGCCAAAATTCTTGCGGCGGGTCATCGTTGATGTCCTTCCGGCCGCCCTGAGAAACCCATTCTTCGTGTATGTTGCCCGATTGAGACCGTATTGATACTTTGCCAACCTGGTCGAGCACGAACCCGAGGACATACATGCTAAAATGGCCCTCTCGCTTTCGAAATCTGAGCACGTCGAAATTGGCTCCCCGATTTCCAGCGGCACTGTAGTTCCGGTGGCTCAGGCCGGGGAGGCCGACGAGGGGATCTGCGTTCTGGCGGCCCATCTTTAGCTCGCCATTGGGGTGCGTGTACATGGCGTAGGCGGCGCCGGAGAGCTTGGGGATCCAGGAAGGCATGGTTTGGTCGTCGTCGACCTTGCTGGGGAAATCATCGGGCTTGCTGTGGCCTTCTCCCTTGATCTCAGGCTTCTTTGGGGTCGGGGTGGGTGCCCAGGGCCTGCAGATGATGTCGAGAGCTTGTGTTCTGTTCTCGGATTGGCGGATCGAGAAGAGGATGAACTCTTGGCAGATGGCGATGAAAGGGAGGCTGTAGTCGACTTTGTAGGGCTTGGCTTTCAAGTTGCGGTACCATGCGTTTAGATGGGCCTTTGCTGGTATGGCACTTGAGGCCGTGTTTCCGTGGATGACGGCGATTGGGGCGGTATCTTTGGCGAGTGCTAATAGCGAGTAGATTGTATCTCTCGGTTCCGTTGCCTGGAACACAAACAGCGTAGACACGAGGTACTCCAGACTAAGCAAAGGCTGGCGCTTCTGACGCTTCGACACCCGAAACAATGTTCGTTCAGAGCCTGTCCCAGTAGCATCAACAAGCAAGCTCACACCAAGCGCAGACACATACTGAAACCACCCCGGCACATGATAGAACTTCGGAGCCATCTTCATCACCTCCGAAAGCTTGTGCGTCGTCGTCTCAACCTCGACGAATAACTGCACGGCATCCGAGAAGTTCTTCCACGAGATAGAATCTTTGCCGCAGTATATAACCGCTTCATTTGCCAACGCAATCTCTTGAACCACCCAGCGCCGAGAGAACCACGGCCGTTTCATCAGATTCACCATCGCGCCCCACTTGTGACTGTAGGCGATATCTTCACACAGCTCATCGAAGCGCTCAATGCGAAGCACTTCGTCTTTGATGAAGTCGAGCGCGATTTTGCTGTCCTTGTCTGCCGCGCCGATCCAAACGCATACGCTGCTGGCGAGGCCGTAGATCTTCGACATAATAGGGACCTGGTGATTTTTCTCGTCTGTGCTCTTCTGGTTCATGCATAGCGAGTCGACCCTAGAGAGAAGACATAGCAAGTCGTCCTTATGCTAGGCAAACTCTCTATAATGTGCAACACAAGCGAGCCGGCCACCTCATCACCTCCACGCAATCAACAGTGCTCACCATTTAAAGCAACACATTTCCAGTATCTTACAGCCTTCAAAGATCGTACAGTCTCAAATGATTAACACTACGTGGAGTGCACGGCTCTCCCTGCTCCCCTTTCCCATCCGAAAATGTCCTCTATCCACCCACATTTCCTAGGACCTTAGAACAACACTCTCCTCACCGCAACAAAACCTGCCAAATCCCATTTCTGTGGTGCTGTACGATCCATCCATTCCCGCCAGTTTTTGTCGTTAATAGGCTTGTGAATTCTCAAATATTCCCAATAATCCGGATACCAACCTGCAAACTCCCAATCAATAAGCCCAGTAATCTCGTGAGTGTGGTAGTCGACCATAATGTTTCGTGGTGCTATGTCGCCGTGCGTAAAGACAGAGCTCTGAGAGTGAGGAAGCATAGCAAGTATCTCCTCTTTAGTATATCTTCGGCCATAGAAATGGTAGTAACGTTCAAATATCCGAGCTCGGACGGCAGCGTCATTGACAAGAGGCCGAGGAGGAGACTCCAGATCCTCGACATACACGTCCTGGCTGCAAGAGCCGTCGGCCGAGCAAAGGAAGAAGTTGTTAAACTCTGGCGGTTTCAGAATTTGGCGAATCTTTCCGATTAGGCTCCAAATGTCGTAACAGAGTCGCTCCTTTGTTTTCTCATCAAGAGTATCCCAGAGGTCCTTAAGAGTCGATCCTGGAATAAGACTCATAAATAGGTCGCCACCCAACTCAGAGTAGTGAGAATATAACACCTCAGGGACTGGAACATCAGACAGTTTGCCCACGAGCCTTAGAGCAGCCTCCTCCCGGGGGAGTACTCTACTGCCAGATTTTGAAATCGCGTCATCGTCAAGTCGTGTTATGCGAGGCCCCATTTGGAGTATCACGCTCGGGGGTCCGTCTGGACCCCATTCTGGGAGTGGTGCCGCTGGATGTCTTAGTTCTGGCCTTGCTGAATGTTCTTCGGGAGTGGTGTCCATTGCAGAAGGAAAGAGGAGGCAAGTGTGGTAAGGCAGAGCGCCTGTAGTGTAGCGATCTAGGTAGTAACCGTGCCAGCTGTCGTCGTCTGAGTAGTAATTGTCATGAAGATGATTAAATTATCAAGTCGAGAAGGATGTGGGGCGTGTCTTGTGGTGCAGAAATAGGTGGCCTTGCACGAAGGGGCGCGGCGGCGGCAAATACTCGGGGGGGGAGTCTCAACATTCACCAGGCAACCTTGGTCATGCCGAAAGACGGTACGACGTCCCCACTCCGTGTGGGCTTAAGCCATTCAAGAAGCGCTGGTCGACCGTCTCTCCCGAATGCCTCGAATCTTTCAAGTGAGGCGCGGTTGGTAGGTAGACTTTCTATCCTGATTCCTGGCCAACAGCGTGATGTTAGTGTCTGGGGTCTCCAACATTCGCCAAATGAAATAATCAACAAGCGACAAAGCGGTCGACGGATTATTGAGCTATGGTGAACTTGAGCGATCCATACCGGGTATAAGGATTTCTATTTATACGTGGTACTCAGGTAATTATGATTTGGAATATTTACTGACTCCCAAGCCTGTCTCTTCTACGCGTTTCCAACGTCTCACAAGAAAGGCATAGATCGGTTGCAATCTGCTTTGTTTAATTTGCCCCATACCTCTGGCTTGTTTGCTTTCTCCGGGTCAGAACTAAATAGAAACTCCAGGGCTCAACACGCGCAAATTGCGAGCAAAAGTCTATAGAGTTCTCTCTTACATCGGACCCGAATTCCGCCACCACAACTACTCTTTTAGCCGTCATAATCGGGAGGTTGGAACATTCAAAGAGAAGGTATTTGTAAATGGAATGCACCACACAAATATGGAATGAAGTCACATTCTTCTCTAAGAATACATAATCGCTGCGGCACAGCAGTCTATTCTCCATCAGTACTAGACCGGAGAATGCCCCATGGCGATATCCTATCAATCTACAGCCGCTCGCATCTCTGAAACCAACCCTTTTCTACGGTCGTGGCGTGGGAGAGCTGGAGCAATCAGGTCGAATGCTCTTGCACTTTCAAGCTGCAGCATGCAGGTGGCGACTGAGTAAGCGCTATATGAGACAGCATATCTGATAAACGGAATCAGTCCTTGCAATAACCTGCTCGGGTTTCCAATTAATCTACAGCCGCCCGTATTTCTAAGACGAAGCCTTCTTTGTTTAGTACCTGTCGGAGAATCCTAGAATCTAGAGATGTCGACCTATGGCGATATGATCAAGCATTTATAAGTCCTGTCATAACTGTAGAATTCAGGTCAAACCACAAGACGCGCCTCTAATATCCCCAAACTCCCAGTCACCCTTCAATAGTCACGCTATTCATAAGACCAATTTCGTATATCATCGTAGTTAAGTGACGCTGAGAACATCTAACTGAGATGTAAACGCTGATAAATTTGAGATGGCCGATGTGACCGGATACACGATCAAAAGAGTGGGACTCAGAGAGTTTGCAACAACGGGTGACGGTGTTGCCCACTATTCTCGCCGAATTGGCGGGGCTTGGGAGCCGTATCAAGCCCAAGCAGTAGCCACCGTCGCAACTGAAAGGTCGCCATTGTCGCTCTTCGTTGTTCGACAAGATCAAAGTGAAGGGGAATCACTTCACTGGTGTCTCGTTGTTGGACGCGAAGGCGAGAATCATGGCAATGTATATCAAGTCAAGGGGGATGCTACAGGCATGCGCTACGTCTTTGCGAACCACGTCAACATCTTCGGTTCCAACTCTTTCCGCAACTCATACCGGATAGCCAGCCTGGACTCGACCAGTGCATCGCGCGTTTACGATTGTGCTATCCTAGAACCTCCTCGGGCCGCAAACCAAGCAGCGGTGACGGAAAATTGCTAAGGATGGTCTATGAGGGTGATCTGGAGGCTGGTCGCTGAGGGTATTGTGACTCAAGATTGGTATTCTCATCTCCGTACACTCATGGAACCTGTTTAGGAAGCTCTTGGTATTTTGGAGGCGCATCACTCAGGTTGCAGATAAAGTTCACAATTCGCCTGCACAGAGGCACAGGCCCCCTGTTTCCTTTTTTCCTTTACAAGCAAGGCACTCTCTGTCGGTGAAGCCCAGCAACCCCCCCCACACACACACTGTTGTACCAGTTTGATGTCCAGTTGTGAAGGTTCCTGTTCCTGTTACAGTATTGCGACGCTATTGCTACGTTGCTGTTACATTGCTGTCACTTCCTCCTGTATCATCATGTTACATTTTCTTATCTGTTCTTCTAGACTGCCGTTCTGCCAACTATATATTCGCTCGTTAGCACCTTAATGCCACTCCTGTTCGCTCTATCCAATTGTGCCAGCTACTAGTTGTGAGTCGGATTAGCCGCACCGCTACTAGTTCCACCTATGTTTGGAAAAAAAGCTCAGCCGAATGAAGGCCTAGAGTACCTGCAGGCCCTAGTAAGTGAGGGCCATCTCAATCTTCCTTTTGTTTCTAAGATACAGTTCCTCCACAAAGTCAACACTCTCCCGATCCCTCTTTTGACCCGTCTTAAGCACCGGCGCGGTTCTGGCGCCACGGCCACTCGATAGATCACCTTCGGACACTTGTGCTGTTGCAGTACAGCTAGGAGGAGGTGAAGGTATACTAGTGGTGGAATGGTGGAGCTGGAAGATGGGAGCGTTGGCGCGTGCGTTCATTTCCTGCTCTCCCAGTTGCCAGTGCATGCTCTCCGCGGATCTCCAGGGTGTTTGCATCTCCAAGGCCACCTTTTACCACATCTAGTCTTTAAATCTGTTTGGAATGTTAGTTAGGGTTCAGGGGATGGGCGAAGGGGCAATGGGGAAGGAATGGACTTCGGGGGTGAAGGGTGTACTTACCGAGCATACAGCCTTGCCAGTTTATTCTTTTTCTCCTCGTCCCAGACTGCGCGCTTCTCAAGGTAATTCTGGTATCGAAGTCGGCATGCGATGGCTGATCGTCCTGGAAAGTGCTTTGCGATGTCCTCCCATTTCATTCCTGTTCCTCTGAGCTCGATTATTAGATTATACGTGGGTTATTGCGAAGGTGAACTCTGTTCTATTACGAGTGCCGTAGGGGCAGATATATAGGAGAGTAAGATGAGGCGCCAAATGGGGCGTGAGACGGCTGGAAAGGAAGTGGTGGTGAAATGATAGACAGGGGGGGGAGGGGTCCGACCGCATACTGTATTGAGTTGGTGATAGTTGACCATTGTCAGAACCCGCGTTCATCTCAGTGCTCCCCAAGCTAGCAAGTACAGCCAAAAAACTAAGTAACTACATGGAACTCACTCGACCCATCTTGATTCGAGCAATCGCCACGCCGTCGCCATCTAGTGTGACCTCGCCCTAGGCGTACTCACCACTGAGGGTAGCCAGCCGGGGCGGGCGTCCAAGTCAGGGTTGCGGTCAAGTCTTGGTCAGCCGATACCTTGGTAAATGAGAAGTTGTTCTTGTCGGTGCCGGTGTAGGCGTACATCTGGAGGCCGAGCTGGAAGCCCTTGCCGAAGGAGAGGAACTCGTTGATCTTGGTGACGCGGAGGTAGTACCTGTACCTCGATTTGGCCTGTATCGGGATGCCGTCAGCCGGGTTCGGCGGTGGCAGGTTGATCCACCGGCGCGGCGGATGGGGATGATGAAGCCCGGCCGCTGGTACAGGTCGCCGCTCGCCGTTCGACCCGCCGAGTTGTTCTCGATCCGGATCGTCCCATCGTATGCAAATGAGCCGGTGTATGGCTCGTAGTTGACAAGCCACGCGCCTGTATTGATGAAGTGAATTTGCGGCCACTATGGCGGGGGAAAGCGCGGCGGCAGGATGTTGATCTACGCTTCGTCGCCAGTTTGCCCATTACATGCGGGAGCGGAGGGGATCTTGACAGGTAACACATCTGGGAGGGGTGGGAGAGCCATGATTGGTTGCGTTGAGTTGGAAAGAATACTGATTGGTGAGCGGTATCAGATTGGAGTTAGCAAGAAGACGGGCCAGGTTAACTGAATGGCAAGGGCAAGAGCTCACTTTTATGGCCTTGGATTTTCTACGACGCATCGTATAATTCAAGGTGAGACGCTGTGGCCGAGGGAGCCACGACGGCCTGGCGGTGTAAAGCTGCTCAGCTCTTCCACCATTGCCAAGCAGCAGCAGCCCACACAGACAAGTTTCTGTTACAGAACGAGATATAATTCGTGGAACTCTCCGAGCTGAGGGGGTGAATAAGAAACCGCTGCGCCTGTCCCAAGTGTCGTGGCCGCGTCAGCTGGACTTTTCATGACTTCCACCAACGCCAATACCACCTATCACCTACTGGACTAACAACATTTGTTTTCCAATTTTCTGCGGGTGGGCAATCGCCAACCGCCACCTTGATCATTCCTCCCGTGCTCCGAGGATCCCGATTTGGCTCCTCAGGACGCTGAATGAAAGACCTCAGATTTCTGAGGTACTTAATGCTGGATCGATCGGAATATATGCAAATCGCGTCGACCCATAGCACGCGTGAATTGCGCCGGTCGCGGAGGGCTCTCAGCGCGGCTTCGAAGCTGGGAGGAACGAGCTGGTAATAGTCTTCGCCTTTGTGGCTGACGCGGATCTTTCTGTCCCAGGGAAGGGTTCCCCAGTTCCATGATAGAGCTTCATAGTCTGTCTTCTTATTCTTTGACTTGTCGGCTTTTTCGGGGTCGTGCCAATCAAGGTCGTCCTCGACTAGGTCGCAGAGCACTTCGCCGGACCTCCATCCGCCGGGTCGGAGCTTCAAGAGACGAATGGAACTGGGCTTCTCGAGGTTGGTGTATTTGTACTCTTTCAGTTCTTCTTCCGATTCTTCTGACTCGCTTGATGTCTTTTCATTGCTTCGGCGCATGATGATGGTAGGGTGGGTGAGTTTACAGGGTGTTGTTCTTTTTGGGGAATCATTCAACAAAATAATCCGTACTTATGTTCTCCACCCAGTGCGGCTGAAGGTAAGGCTTAATATTGGCATGGCTTGTTTTTCTGCCAACTCTTAGGGCTCACCAATGAAGCTTGTGATCATCCCTCCGTACCAAAAGATGTGGAGTCTAAATGCGGTTGGACATCCCTCAGCCTCGTTCCAGCCTTGCCGCAGCCACATATCGCAAGCGCTTAGCAGCGCTTTGCCTGTCTTCAAGACATTCCTTGAGTAGACTGATTGCCTGACCTATCATTGGTCGATTAGTAGCTAGTAGCTTGCTGCATGGCGGACAGCACATCACGGCCGGTGACCTAGCGCAGAAACTGAGTTGACCGCCGCACAGCCGGTAAGCCACCTTTTCTGGGCTAATGTTGAGCTAGCTTGAAGATTGATTGGCTAGGAGGCTGCTAATCTCCCTTAAAGTCGTCCGGAAACGCTACCTTACCCGGTGATTTTGGGGCTTGATTTTAGCGCTGGTTCACCGGATATGAGTATATGCTGTAAGTAGATGAAGGGACGAGAGTGTTCGCAGCTGGTGAGGGCTCGACAAGCTTTACCGACGGGAGATGTTTGGACACGGCTGAAGTACGCTAGCGGTCCGGCCCCAGGCCGCCACCGTGAAATGTCACGGATACGAGGCAGAGGAGCTAGGTAGCAAAGAAATTAGGTTGGTCGTTTACAAGAGGTCGTGTACAGCCTCTCTTCACGCCCAGTGGTCTAGCGCTAAACTGTGTCGATCCTGATATACCTCTTTTCTGGGCTAGTACTTAACCGGCTTGAGAATTGATTGGCTAGAGGGTTGCTATTTCCCCCTAAAGGCGCCTGGAGTTGCTCCCTTATACGGGGAGTTTGTGGCCTGATGTCAGAGAATGACCACCGGAAGTGAAGAGAGGCTGTAAGGAGCAGGAAGAGAGGCTCGCATAAGGACGCTATCTAGGAAGGGCTAGAGGCCCGAGCGCGGTGGTACGTGGTAGGCACGTGGGCGTGTGGTCGGTGACGAGTGAGTGTACGGCCGGAGGACGGGGCGGAATCCGTCACACTTGAACACATTGGGGATTCAGACGAGGCTGAAGGGCGGAGGCTGAGATCTGGACATAGATCTGGGATGGAATCGTAGATAGCGATCAACCTTCCGAGATGCCAATCCGAGACTTATATCAAATATGCCTGAAAATTGACGCAGATATCGATTGGGCGCCACTAATAGCACACCCCCTTTTCACTAATCGCACACCCCTTTTTCACTAATCGCACACCCCCCCCTCTTGGCGCTTCACCGCCTTCCTATTGGCTCGGATTACGGCTCCGGAGCCTCCGATTTGCTCGCTTAACTTGCTTATTAATTCCAAATGCTCTCTCCAAATGCGGCCTTGGTTACAATCAATTACATCCTCTTCCTCTCCCTCTACAACACACTCACCATGGCCCTCCAGCCGCCACGGCTGGCGTACTACGCTATAACAGAGGAAGCGCATATTGCTCTACAAGCGCACGCATCAGCGCAGGCCTACGGCCTAGCAAAATACCGTAGTAAACCAGACAGAGTGGATATACGAGCATACCTCCAGGACGCATGCCGACAGCTCCGCCGCCAGCACCGCCTATTTCTGTAGTCCCTCGTCCAGCTCCTGTCGCTCGGAATGCCTATCAGTCGACAGCTACACCGG